TGTTGATGCAGCCTAGAACTGTGTTGGCTTTTTTGGCAGCTGCTGCACACGGCTGGCTCCTATTTAAATGGTTGTCCGCTAGTACGGTGCAAATGAATCCCGTTTATTGATTAAGCTTTCATTAAATAAAACCCAACCCTTCCCCCCCCCCGAAAAAAAGAAACCAGCTAAATGTGGCTTATTCAATAAAGATATGTCTACATATGCCACAAGAGAGCTTAACATTTGAATGAAGTCCTTCATCTGAACATTTTCTGATATAGCTGGAAGGTGTTTTTTTAATTGAATTAATTGAATTTTAATTTAATTTAATTCTGCTTCGATGAACGGACGGAAGTTACAAACTATGGTTTATGTCTTTTGCCTGTTGTGTGTAACCGTTTACCGTGATTAAATGAGCTACGATTAAATGAATCATGATAAGAGTTGGCATATTAATCAAATTCTTTGATTCAAACTAGGAGACATGTATCATCGGGTTACTAACCCCATGATTTGTAGGCTGGTTTATAGGCTGCTCAGAATGCGCTCGGTAAACCATGATTAAGCAAGCATGGTTTATAATGTAATGTCCAAACCCAGATGGTGCTTTTAAAATCTCCTAAAAGAAATGCCAGGCTTTTAATTCAAGAACCTTGCATATTTCCATTTTCAGATCTCCCTCTAATAAATTGGAAGGTACGAGAAAGTTTTAAAAACAGGCCTCCAGAATCTAATCAGAGGTGTCGAACCCCAGGGGAGCTTGCAAATGAGCTCCGTTTGACCACGGCTACGCCTGCCGCTGTCACCATTAACCGATAATCAGAGTTACATCTCTCTGCTCAAGTGGGTCTAATCAGCCACATTCCGCTTATTGGGAGTCTAGGAAGGGAGCTTCCTCATTTTTCCCCCCCCCATCCGATTTCCTCTCCCTCGGCTGGGTCAGAATCCATGGCGAAAATAAAATTAAAAAAATGATTGATCGACTCAAGATGCTAGTCATCAAGAGGAAAAAAAAACCCCTTTCATCTCGCTGCTCGCAGAGATCGCTCAAAGACTTTTTAAGAGACTTTAGGGCCAAAAAAAACCCCACCAAAAACCCACCCCTGTAAAAACGGAGGAGAAAGCAGCTTTTTGGTGCAAAGGTACATCTTCACACTCCTGATTGGTAGCCCCGGCTTTTCCTCCCCCGCCCAGAAGAGCAGCAGCACCCACTGAGTAGGAGGACACCAAAGGCAGGGAAGAATCTCCCTTTTAATTGCTGGCCTATTTCAGGTCCTTCTGACTCATAACACGGGGAAACATCACTGGTGCCAGGAGAGAAACCAAATTTAGGTTCATTTAAAGAAAAAGAAAAATCCATCCTCCACACACGGAGAAACACAGGAAAAAAAAACCACCGAGGTCATCAGACAAATCTACCCCATATATATATATGGTATGTATATATGTATGAATGTATGTATGTATGTATGTATGTATATATATATATATGTATATATGTATGTATGTATGTATGTNTAATTATTCTATTCTATTCTATTTTCTATGCTATTCCATTCTATATTCTATTCTATTCTATTCTATTTTTTTTATTCTATTCTATTCTATTTTCTATTTTATTCTATTCTACTTCACTCATTCTTATTCTATTTTCTATTCTCTTCTACTTTACTCATTCTTATTCTATTCTATTTTCTATTCTATTCTATTCTACTCATTTTATTCTATTCTATTCTATTTTCTAGTCTATTATACTTTACTCATCCTTATTCTATTCTATTCTATTTTCTAGTCTATTCTACTCTACTCATTCTTATTCTATTTTCTATTCTATTCTACTCATTCTATTCTATTCTATTTTCTATTCTATTCTACTCTACTTTACTCATTCTTATTCTATTCTATTTTCTATCCTATTCTATTCTACTCATTCCTATTCTATTCTATTAATTTTCTATTCTATTCTATTCTATTCTATTCCTTTGGAGACCATTAAACGGAGACCATTAAATTAAATCTATTGGACCATTTCTTAAGAGATGGGGCATAGCTCAAAAGATTGGCACTTAAGTTCTTGTCTCAAATAATCCGTCATCAGCGATGAGACTAAGAAAAGATCTAAATCTTTGGAAAGTTACAATCATAGGAAAGGCCAACATTTTGGGGCCCGATCCACCAATTATGAATGCTTCTTGATTCCTATTTGTTGATACTACACCTTGAACAAGATCAACGTAGAGAGATCCACAGATCTAGGCTTGTTAAAGAACTGCCTTTAAGCTTGTCGGAGTATGAATATTCATAGACCGGAATAGATCAGCCAGCAAATAAGCATAGCGACTGGGTCAGCCAATGAGGGCTGTTTTGGAAGCAGAAACTTAAGCGTGGAGCCTGGGCATGGCTTAGATGAGAATTGAAACTGAAACTAGTCTGTAAGCTCTGAGCTTGCTGCTCTGAGAAGTAAACTAGTCTAAACTACTCTGTCTGCTCTGAACTCTGAAATGAAACTAAACTGTTCTCCCCTGCTTGTAATCTACTATTGGCATTGTACATTTATTCATCTGTTATTATGTATATAAAGAAGTTAATGAAATCCAGCTGAATCAGTTATCTTTGTCTGCTTCCTGGATTTGATTTTTCTGCAACAAACTCTGACAAAGCTAACATTACTCAAGATGTTCAAAAAAACCCATCCCTCTGGAATTGTCCTCTGCCCTTTTAAGACGCGACCCAAATACAGGCAGTCCTCGACTTACCACAGTTTTTTAAGTGACCGTTACAAGTTACAACGGCACTGGGGGGGGGGAGTGAAACTTATGACCAGGTTTCACAGTTACGACCTTTGCAGTGTCCCCAGGGTCCTGTGATCCAGATTCAGATGCTTGGCAACCGACTCACACTTACGACGGTTGCAGGTGTCACGCGATCCCCCTCTGGCGACCTTCTGACAAGCAAAGTCAACGGGGAAACCGTGTGGCTAATTTAGCAGCGGCCGTAATTCACTTAACAAGCGCTGCAGGAAAAGGCGTCAAAGCCCCCCCCCCCAAACTCACTTAACAAATGTCTCGCTTAACATCAGGAATTTGGGGGTACCAATTGCGGTCGTAAGTCGAGGACTCCCTGCATTCTTTCGCCTCGGTATCACGTCAACCCTTAGGCTCCCGCGATTTCAACGGGACTTTTCAAACGATAAAACTGCCTGGAGCAATTTCTCGACAGTGCCACCAGCTCTGCGGGTACCCAATCGCCAACTCAAAATCTCCTAAATCCCTAAATCCGGGAGGGAGGGAGGGGGAGGGATTTCTGGGACACAGGGAGAGGCTCACACTGCATTCTGTGATGTAGGTAGCCAGGTCCTGTTCCAGGAGGGATCGCTGGGTCTCGGAGGCTTTCAGTTCCACCTCCTTTTGGCTAAGCACAGCCTCCACCTCCGACACTCTGCGATGCAAACGCGTCATTTCCTGCTCCATCTGCAAACAGACATCGAAAGGGTTTTTTTTTTTTTAAAAAAAAGGGACTCCCGGTAGGCGCGCAGGGATCCAAGGCGCACCAGGAGCGGAGAGACGAAGGTTTAGTAAGTTGTTTAAAAGGCAAATACCATTATTTCTGGTCCTGGGAAATTCACGCTTCCTTCTCGGGGGGGAGGGGGGGCAAAAAGGCAGTGATGCTAAGTCACCCCATTCATTCACGCGGCTTGTTTGCATTCAGCCCCTCTTCGGTCCCCGGTTAGCATAAAAGTCACCATCATTTTTTCAGCGGATTGGAGGTTTTTTTNCCTACCTACCTACCTACCTACCTACCTACCTACCTACCTACCTACCTATCCTTGCTGGGATTCGAACCTGGGCTATTTTACATGTTAGGCACTTATAATAACCTCTAAGCCAATAGCTGTCCATATATATGTAAAATCTCTGCATGGAGAGACAATCTGCTGTGTCTTACTGCTCGCCCCGTCTCCCACCACTGAGCCACCTTTTGCTCCTACTTTCCTTCTCCTAGTAGCAGCCCATGACTCCAGGGCCCACAAAACCACAAGAGGCATCCTTAGATGAATGGTGACTTCGGCTCACTAACCGTCCGTCGTGATCCAGGACCTCCGATCCTTTCCCCCCCTCCTCACCCCCCCCGGCCAGCCAATCGCCACGGCCCTCCGCATCGGCAGCCGTTCTGCAGCTGCGATGCCTCCTTCTGACCAGGAGTCCTAAGCGAACCCACAGCCCGTACCCCATTTTGCTGGGCACCCTGGTCTCGTCCCTTCCACCTAAGCGAACCCACAGCCCGTACCCCATTTTGCTGGGCACCCTGGTCTCGTCCCTTCCACCGTGCCTCCCTCCCCCCCCTCCAAAGGTACCCTGGACGGACCTAACCGGGCTTAGCAAATACCCCCCCCCCCCACTCCCAGCCTGTTCAACAGAAGGAGCACGTAAAACCAGGGCTTAAGATTTCCCCCAATTCCCTTCCAATTCATCATAATCATCATTATTATCATTATTATTAATTCTTATTTGCAAAGGATGAAGTCAAAAACATTTCCTTCCCCTGCAGGATCACGGATTTGGGGAAGGGGGAGACCAGATTGAATTCCAGGAGTTTTCACCTCCAACCAGAGGGTCCCCCACGGCATCCAGATCCTGGGGATGAGGGAGACCAAGTGAAATCCATCCCAGTTTTGTAGGGAAATCAAGACCCTGAATCATATCATACATCCCGCTAGCAGAAGAGCGCTCCGCCGCTGGATTCCTGCCTCCTCCCAAACCCCAGCAAACTGCCCGGGTAGAAACACCAATCGACTCTCGTTACTCATCCCTTCCGAGCCGGTTACTTACTCTGACCGGAGGACGGTGAGCGCCTTGGTGAAGGAGAACCCCACGAATGGCCAACCGTCTCCGGGGGAAGCCGTAAGGCTCAGCTGGCCGAGAGGGGAAGCCGCGCCAGCGTCCTTCTCCCGGGCATCAAAATTAGACGTATCATCTTCAGACCGGACGGCAGGTACGAAGGGAGGGCGAGCTGGCGGTTCGTTGGCAGGAGAAGACGCCCGGCGGCGGCGGCAGCAGGAGGAGGGAAAAAGAAAGGCAGAGGGTGAGCTGCGGTGTGGAGATCCGTGGGGCTCCCATTCAGCATTATTTCAACCGCCAGGCACTGCAGCGCCCCGCTTTTTAATCTTTGCGAGCACCAGCAGGGCTGAGCTAACCCAGCGGCTCCAACCCGCTTTTGACAGCAACAAGGAATTTTAACCCTTCCCTTGCCAACATGGCCACCATTTTGCAGGGGAGAAAACTCCCCTTGGCAAAAGCTTTGCCAGCTAGCCCAACCACCACCATCACCACCACTACCCGGGAAGGGCCTGGCTAGCTGGAAGAAGATCTCTTTTGCAGCTGGCTCCACTTAATCCCAGAACGAGAGGCTGCAGCAGGCAGTCTGCCCCTGGCAACAGCAAAAGGCACCCTGGACAGCGCCAGCAGCTGTCTTGGGCTTCGATGCCCGGCCGGTGGAATGCCAACTCCCTAAGTTAACCTTGAGGGGGGCATCTGGGGCGGCTGGGTCTCTCCGCTAAGGTCAGAAGGAACCTGCCCGATTTCTCTGTGCCTCTGGCTTGCTCAACTCTCTTCCCCCCAAGGCTGGACGGCTCCACTGCGGTCCACCTCCAAAAATCTCCTTTTTTATCCCTCTCCATGCCCAGCGGGCAGCTTCTTCAAGGGTGCCCGGCTTTAGTGGCAACGAGAAAGGAGGCAGAAAAGAGGCGAAGGGAGAGAGAACTTTCATCAGCATCCCAGCGGGGGATCCGAGAAGGGGAAGCTGCTGATGGGGAAACTGCACACCTTAATCCGGTTTCTTTTTTCCCCCTCCCCAGGCTGCTTTCGATGCCCCGGCTGGAAGTCACCGGATGGTGCAAATCCACCGGCTCGCCTCTCTCCCGCTCTCCTCCGGGAAGCGGCTTCCCAAGTTGCTCCCTGTCAGAAGCTGGGCGGACGTAGTGTGTGCCGATGCCGATGCCGCCGCCGTTGCCGTTACCATGGCTCCATGGAGATCTCTCAAAGATGAGCCGCTGCCGAGGCGGGGAGGGGGGGGCCGAGAAGGAGCCCAGCCTGCCGGCATGGCAGGAGAGGATGCTCCTGCGGTGCAGGCTGCCCGCTCTCCACTCTGTGCATGCCTCCGAAGGTTTAACCCTCCTCTGCCCATCAGCCTGCCAGACGCCTGGCAGCCATTGGGGGGGAGGGCTGGGGAGGGGGGGGGAAAGGAAGGATGAGTCACGGCTGGGGGCTTGCCAGACTGCCAAAGCTTTTGTAGAGGGAGGGAGGGGGAGTTGGGGTTTTTTTTTTAACCCTTTGCGGTCTGGGTGCTTTGAAGATATTGCAGGGAGGGAGGGAGGGAAGGAAGGAAGGTGGGAGGGAGGGGAAGAGAAAGGGAAAGAAAAGGAGGGACGATGGAAGGGAATGAGAAGGAAATGAGGGGAGGAGGGAGGGGAAAGAAAAGGAGGGGAGGCAGATGGAAGGAAAAGAAAAAGAGGGAAATGAGGGGAAGGGAAGGGAAAAGGAAAGGAAAGGAAGGAAGCAAAAGAAAAAGAGGGGAGGGGAAAAGGAAGGGAAAGGAGGGAAGGAAAGAAGGAAATTAAAAGGAGGGGAGGGGGGAGGAAGGAAAAAGGAAAGAGGGAAATGATATTGCAGGGAGGGAGAGAAGGAAGGAAGGTGGGACGGAGGGAGGGAGGGGAAAAAGAGGGAAATGGGGGGGGAGGGGAGGGAAGGGAAAGGAAAAAGGGAAAACAGAAAAAGGGAAATGAAGGGAGGAAGGGAGAAGGGAAGGGGAAAGGAAAGGAAAGAAGGAAAAGGAAAAGAGGGGAGGGGAGAGGAAAAGGAAGGGAAAGAAGGGAAAGAAAGAAGGAACAAAAAAGAAGGGAGGGGAAAGAAGGAAGGAAAAGAGAAAGAGGGAAATGAGGGGAAGGAGGGAGAGGAAGGGGAAAGGAAAGGAAAGGAAAGGAAAGGAAAGGAAAGAAGGAAAAGAAAAAGAGGGGAGGGGAAAAGGAAGGGATAAGAGGGAAGGAAAGAAGGAAAATAAAAGGAGGGGAGGGGAAGGAAGAAGGAAGGAAAGAGGGAAATGAGGGGAGGGAGGTTTGGGTTTTTTTTAACCCTTTGCGGTCTAGGCGCTCTGAAGATATTGCAGGGAGGGTGGGAGGGAACGAAGGTGGGATGGAGGGAGGGAGGGGAAAAAGAGGGAAATGGGGGGAGGGGGAGGGAAGGGAAAGAAAAAGAGGGAAGATGGAAGGAAAAGAGAAGGAAATGGGGGAAGGAGGGAGGGAGGGGAAGGGAAGGGGAAAGGAAAGGAAGGAAGCAAAAGAAAAAGAGGAGAGGGGAAAAGGAAGGGAAAGGAGGGAAGGAAAGAAGGAACAAAAAAGAGGGGAGGGGAAGGAAGAAGGAAGGAAGGAAAAGAGAAAGAGGGAAATGAAGGGAGGGAGGGAGGAGAAGGGAAGGGGAAAGGAAAAAGGGAAAACAGAAAAAGGGAAATGAAGGGAGGGAGGGAGGAGAAGGGAAGGGGTATGGAAAAAGGGAAAACAGAAAAAGGGAAATGGAGGGAGGGAGGGAGGAGAAGGGAAGGGGAATGGAAAAAGGGAAAACAGAAAAAGGGAAATGATGGGGGGGAGGGGGGGAAGGGAAAGGAAAGGAAAAGAGGGAAGATGGAAGGAAAAGAGAGGGAAATGAGGGAAGGAGGGAGGGAGGGGAAGGGAAGGGGAAAGGAAAGGAAAGAAGGAAAAGGAAAAGAGGGGAGAGGAAAAGGAAGGGAAAGAAGGGAAGGAAAGAAGGAACAAAAAAGAACGGAGGGGAAAGAAGGAAGGAAAAGAGAAAGAGGGAAATGAGGGGAAGGAGGGAGGGGAAGGGAAGGGGAAAGGAAAGGAAAGAAGGAAAAGAAAAAGAGGGGAGGGGAGAGGAAAAGGAAGTGAAAGAAGGGAAGGGAAGAAGGAACAAAAAAGAAGGGAAGGGAAGGAAGAAGGAAGGAAAAGAGAAAGAGGAAAGGGAAAGGAGGGTCACTGTAATTTTTCTAAGCATCGGGGAGTCTTTTCATACAGAAAACATGTTGAGGGGCTGCATTGGGAGCCAAAGCGGGGGAGGACCGAACTATTCCCTCCCCCAAAGAGCTTAACAATCCCTAAAGACAAGGGCCAGAGGAGAGAGATCAAGCCCAACGTTCTTTCACACACAGCCAATTCCTACGCAACATAGATCAATAACAACAACAACAAAACCCACCTTTTGCCTGGCATTAAACCAGGGCTCCCTAACCCACACAGGCCATGAACCGGCACTGCGCCACGGCGTGCCAGCCACCGGGGCCGTGCAAACGAGCGAAGTCCCATCCACGGGATGCAGGCAGCACGCAAAAACCCACCTCCGCTCCAGCCGGCGGAAGAAGCCACCCTCTCCACGGAGCCACGGTCCCTGGGAGCCCAACAGGTTGAGGGACACCATTTCTGATCTTCCCACAACTTTCCCCGGTGGAAGGTGGGTTTTAATAAAGCTGGAACTTCACGGGTGGGATCGGTTCAGCCAGCGGCTGTGATGTCGGAAGGAAGCCAAAGTTCACCCAGCCTTGGCTTAATGAAATGGGGGGAGTCCAGTGAATGGGGAGGGAGGGGAGAGACGTAGAAATTCCGTTGCAAGAGCCACGTGGACAACTGGTGCTCATCTCCGTTTCAAAGCCGAAGAGCCAGCGCTGTCCGAAGACGTCTCCGTGGTCATGTGGCCGGCATGACTCAACTCCCGAAGGCACACAGA